AAAAGTACTCCAGAGTGTTGTTCAGCATGGGGGTGAGTAGAAAATGAAGGCTAATCATGTTTTGGGTGTACTATTCCTTTAAAGGGCACATGTGCAGAAAAAGATAGCTAACGGGACGAGCACGTAGGACGGTCTTATGTAAACGTATCACCATCCATCCACCCGGAAATAAAAGATCGTCCTCTATGCCTTTAAGGAAAAGCTGATATACTCAGTGGCTTTCAATAATCAGTCTCAGTCTAGTTTGAAGTCTGTGACTGAATCCTTCTGGATTGCAAAGCTGATCTGTCAGCTGCCCAAAACTGTTAATTTGACAAAGCATTAAAGCTGCCAGGGATGCCAGAGGAGGTGCAACAAACTGCTGTGACTATAACCATGCACACAGTCACACCCAGGGTTGCCTTATTGTAACCTAACAGTCATGTGTTTGGGCTGGAAGGAAGCCGAAGAATTGGAGAAAACCTGTTAACCTGCAAACTCCTGCAGGACAAGTGTTTAAATCCAGGAACGTGCTACCCACTGTGTCACCATTGGTGCTTTTAGCAATGTGATATTTACAAATAAAGCTGAGGGCTATGTTTTGATGTGCTGGAGTGCAGTGAAAAAAGAGCTGCATCCTGTTGTGATCCACCAATACACATTTATGTGAAACAAACTTTTACTGTGGTCCATTTGTTCAGAGTATTGGAGAGTTAGTTGTGCTAATGACAGAATAATTAGGAAACTACTGAGGTGTTAAATCCTCTGATGTTGATGGTTAACCCTCTGCTGGGATTGGCTCACAGCTTGATCATCACTCCTGTTTATTTATTCTGGCCGGCCGTAGAGCCAGAGCAAACAAAACTTGTTCTCTGAAGATTCAGAAAAGAGGATCAATAAATATTCTCCTCTTTGCATTTCAGAATGCTGTCTGGTTTTACAAAATCCTTCATTACATTTCCAATCTAATACTTTCCTTGGTCCTCGCTCCACGGTGAGATTTATTTACTCCCTCTGACTACAAATAAACCTTCAAACAGTGAAGTTTGTGGTTTTTTATTGTGATGATAGTGAAACCTTTTGACTGAGGGAGATTTAGATGGAGGCTGAGCAGTTTGAGTCCCATACTGACGCACCAGAGACAGAAATGAAAGCAGAGAAAGAGTTAAACTGAGTTTGGTACTGTGAGCAAAATGGATTCACACCACATTGAACATCTTCCCATTGTGACTATTATAGTGATTTATTTATACATATACTGAAAATTAAAACTCATCCCAAAAGGAAACATGGAATTGGCGGCATTATGCTGAGGGAAGCTTTCTTAAGAAGGTTAAAGGGAGTTATGGGAAGGAATAAGTTTTTAAAAATGTATTCTTGGAAAAAAAAAACGTTAAATACGGCATCAGGATCTTGTGCAGTTCGTAATTTATATTTATGCAATTACTATTTAATACCTTGTGCATTAAACTGTTTCTTTATACTTGACATCAAGTGCAATATCTATATATATTAGGGATGCACGATATAATCGGCCCCCTATCGGTATCGG